AACGAACGAAGTAAGTACGACGTACGACGTAGACGACAACGTAACTAAGTAGTAGAGAGAGAGGAGAGGTAGGTGGGTAGGTAGTATAATAGAGAGAGAGAGAGAGAGAGAGAGAGGAGAATCAGTTTGTAGAGATACGCCATGCTGGCCTCTCTTTCTGTGTCCCCAACTTGGGGTTGATTTTTTTCTCATGGGTTTGGAGCCAATGAGGCGGGAGCGTGTCAGGGGAACACGCAGGCCATGTACTCATCATCTTAGGCTGGAGAGAGAAAGAAGTGAGAGGGTGCAATAACATTGTTAGAGAGAGAAAGATGAGAGAGAGTGTAATAAAATTGTTAGAGAGAGAGAGAGGGTGCAACACATTGTTGGTCCCTTGGTCAAACCTCAAGCCCCAGGCTCCATTCCAACTCATCAGTGGATCTTTGCACCTTCTCGGACACGTGTCAACTTGCGGTGCGACGCATTGAAACGGCCCGATTAGTCGCCAATTACTCGGCTTCGGACGCGGTGGAAGCTCCACTGTGAAAGACTCTTATTTTGGGAAATTTTTATATAGCGCCGAGGCTCTAAACAAGCAAATTAGAACCCACCACAAAAATTTCACTATAAGAGGTTATTTTGATGTACAAATATCTTCAAACTGATCATCTCCGTATCAAGATCAATCGACATGAGAAAAAAATGGATTTTAAGATTTGGAAATAGTGCATCTTGTGATACATTTTTGGACTCTCATTTTTCAAGATTTTCAAGTTTTCATAGATCTGCTTGATCTACACTATTTTTGAAGCTTTAAAATTTGTAATTAATGATAAAAATATATTTTAAGGCTATCAAAAAAAATTTTAATATTGAAAACACATTTCTTGATACTATTTGAAGGTGGACTCTAATTTGATTGTTTAGAGCTTCAGCTCTATACAGCACCCCCTCCCCCCTTCTTCTTTTGTATGGAGCGTCAACAATGTACTATACATCCCACTCCCTCGGGCAGATGACCTGTTGATTTTATTTTATTTTATTTTATTTTATTTTTTTCACTCTCAAATTTTGGCAACCACCTAAAAAAATCATTAGATTATTGCTTTTAAAAGTTGAAATTTGAATTTTAAGTTCTCTAAGAATTAGATCTCACCTCAAATATTTCGGTTCTCTAATCAATCTTAAGAATTTTTTATTTTATTTTCGTTTCTTCATGTATACATAGAGTGTGAGGTAAGGTAATTTCCTTTATTGATGCGAGTCCATGGGTTGAACAGGCTATATCTCTAAATTTAACGCCTTACAATTACTCCTAGGTTGAATTTTACTTGAAGAAACAACTAGACAACATACTCTTACTAAATATTTTGGCTTTTTTTTTAATGGTTTTAACGTACTAGAGGTGGCAATGAGCAAGACTAGGATTAAGCAATGGGCTAGGTTAGGTCAGGCCGTACTGGACTGAGATGGGTTGTGACCTATCCAATATTCCCTACAGATTGCCAAAAAATGCCTACCTAAGCCCGAGATTAGCCGTGCATCCGGCCCAGTGCCACCCTTAATTCAATAATGTTGTCGTCTATCATTCACTAGTGAAAATTTTATTGCAAGAATCGTTAATTTTTACTCATTATTAAGCGAATATACTTCTAAGAATTTTAGGACGCCTCTATCAAGAAAGATAAAAATTAATTTTTTCTCATTGTTAGGCGAATTTTTCTATACTTTTAAGAATTTTAGGACGCCTCCATCAATAAAGATAAAGACTTTTGCCTTGGGTTCCAAATCTCTTGACTTCTTGTCGAATTTTGTGCGTATTGGAGTCCTTTATTAAAGAGTTTTTGTTTACGAATTTTTAGGGATTTTTTGGGCAATGTTTATCCTCGTTCATGGGTATAGATTTAATTTCTTTAGTTTCTTCTCGAGTGGAGAGAGCAGTGCTAAAAGAGTTAAATAATATGAGAAGTAGAAGAATCAAATGTCATCCTTAGGGAGATCCTTTCGTGGAAATTAATACAAGATATCTTTACTTCGTGGAAATTAAGGGGTACTTTTTTTTTCTTCACTTCGTGTTTCTCATGATGCAATTTCTTTTGAGTAACTTCTAATAATATTAATGATTTTGGTCCAAAAAGAAAAAAACAACAGATCTTTATGTATTTCAAGAATATTCTAGAGGTAATTTTGTAATTTTTTTTTTTTTCGAAAATATATCAAAGAAAAATAAGGTGTCAATTTGATTACGTAGAAGTATGATGCACTTTACAAATCCACTTATAAAGGTTGTTCTAATTTTGAAAAGTGAAAACCCTACATTTGATCATCTCGACTTCGAGATGTATAAAAATAAAAAAAGAAAAAAATTTCAAATCCTAGAAATAGTGATCTTGTAATAAATTATCTAGAACAACTATTTTTATTTTAAGTATTTGTAGATATGTGAGATTTAAACTATTTTTGAAACTTTAAATTTCATATATTAGGGGTGAATATTGATTTTCATATGAGAACCGCATTTTGCAAGATTTAGAGGTATGTCTGACTTCGATTGTTTAAAGTTGATACCTCATAGAAACTACACCCTTTATCAAATCACATCTTAGAGCTGTAATATTTAATATTTTATCATCTATGTAATTTGATAAAGTTTAAAACCATTTGAAATTTGATAAAAAAAAAAAAAACGAATTATTTGAAATTAGATAAAAGAGTATATGTAAAATAGATCATCTCGAAGATTTGATAATTCTCCATCAACTCAAAGTGATATGAAATCATGAATAGATTTGGTTCTTTTTCATTGAGAAGACTCTTTCAGTTTATCATCTGATTGCTCAATAAAATTGTTCCTTTATTATGTCAATCATCAGGCATGCTGGTTACCTTGTGTATAATAAATAATCAGCTCTCTAAAATTTTGAATAAATTCACTTAAAAAGCTACAATATATATTTTAAACTTAATAATATCCCCAATATATACTCGAAGGATCCACCTTATACCGTTCAAAACTTGGATACACAAAACCTGGTTTTGCATATCCTAGGATCGTCCCAAGACTTACTCAAAGGTATATATATATATATATATATATCTCTCTCATCATTCTATAAGTTATTTATTGATACAAATTTGGATCAATTTAATTAATCAATTGTTGGAATCAATCTCACCCACCAAAGACTTTTAAAAAGAAAAATGTAAAAGAGATACACCCCTAATTTACTATTCGAAAATAAAATACACATCAATAACATTAGTAGAGGATTGGGAATCCTTGGATTTACTATATTTAATCAAAAGGAGGAAACAAAATCTTGAGTTAATAAACTCAAGACACCTTGGTGAAATCTTCATGACAAAAAGATCCTAAAAAAACCCTAAACAAATGAAGAGAGCTGAGATTAAAAATGAGGAAAAGACGCTAAACAAATGAAGAGAGCTGAGATTAAAAATGAGGAGTTATGAGCCAAATAATCGGCGATGAGGGAGTGTGATCACAAGGCACATGAGGTAGATCTAGTGGACAGCGTAGACTGTACCCGAGTCACGAGTTGTCCCCATTTTTAATATCACACCCTGTGGCCGCTCACGCCCCTTTGCTTCTTCCCTTTCAAACCCTAGAAACCCATTTACAATCGGTTTGATTTTGTTCGTTAGAAAAAATTCACAATCGCCCATGGCAAATAGATGTAGATGTGGAATTGGATGGCTGGGGGTGTGTCACTCGCGTTGTACTCAAAGTTCGACAATTTTTTAGTGTGTCATTCACGTCGTACTCAAAGTTTGAAAAAAAAATTTGGACTTTAATTGGAAAAAATTTAGAGTCCAATTGTCAAATTTTTATGTATGACGTCTTAGGGTGTTTTTTACTAGTGTTGTCAACATCAAACCAACTACTAAAACGATGATGGATCTAGTCCAGTAAAAAATTACTCAACATTAATTTGTTTTCTATTTTGTGTTCTTATATTAATTAGATGAAATTTTCCATTTTATTTTTGCAACAACAGTATTACCTGCTTTGGCATACTCTTCTAACATGCATTTCTATAAAAACATCCTATTATTCCCTTCTTTTACCTGTTTAATTTCACCGATCTATTAACAAACCCATTTTTTCATTCTCTAGCATGGAATATGAACAACCCTTTTTTCGATATTTTTCCATGTTTCACTTGTATATTCCTTTTCTTTTTTTAAAATGTTTTTCACATTTTTTTTGCCTCTCTCAGTATTAAATAACAGTGTCTTTCTCCTTGTTTAAAGCTACGGTGCCTTCTTCTTTCTCAATGCCACTTGCCACTAGTTTTTCATTTTTCGGTTTTAAAAAATACAACTTATTTTGCCATCTAAATTAAATTACCCATTTTTTAGTTAACGTCTTTATCAAAGTTATCTATATTAGAAATGTATACAATAAGACTATTTTGGTAAAAAGAGTTTACAAGTATTATTGACCATTAGATATAAAAATCGGGTGGTTGTGGATGTGTCATTGTTCAAAATAAAATTTTTCGAATGTTGTGACACACTTTAATCTATTAAATATCACATCCAATAGTTGATTGTGACTTCCTTGTACTAAAAGTAAATAGTATATACATTCCTATTTATATTTATCAATTTTAAATGCACCCCCTTAATATTTTTTTTCCCCTTCATGCAAAATAGAATTAAATTACTAAGAATAATAAAATAATAAGGTTACAACTTTATTT